CCCCAAAACCCCAAAACCCCGAGAAAAATAATTTCAAAGAATTTAATGAAATATAAATTAAGATGATAAGTTTAAGTATCATAGTTCGGCTTTAGACCTATCATAAATAATAATTACTTTTTCTAGATTCTTATCCCCACAATGAGATATTAGGTCATCTTAAATTTACAAAGAAAAAGATTCCAGTTTTCTTTTCTCAGCAAAAGACATGTTAGCAATGTAATTATAAATCTTAGATCTATTATTATCTTTCAAGTAAGATCTGCACTCAAAATCATCAAAATATAAACCAGCATCTTACATTGTGTGCACATTAAGATATTCATCTATGACATATATTGTCTAGAGTTTATCCTCAAATACTGGTTAGTCTAAATTTTTAAAAATATCTTGATCTATTACAAATTCTCGAGCTTTTCTATACCCCAATTTCTCAAATAATCGATATGACATAATCCTAATATATTTCCAATCTTCTCCTTAACCAAGAGCTGAATATTATCTCAACTAAAAGAATCCAATATTTGTATTGAGTTTCTAGTATCTTCTTAATTAGTAAGGGTTTATTATTTCATTGGATTTACTAAAAATGATGTCTTCATGATAAAAACATCCTTTCTTGAATAAAAGATTAACAAAGGTATAGCCAATTAAATTACTAATTTCCTGTCGATATTCTTCAAGCTACTAGGCTGAAATATTGATAAATTTAATTTCAATCTTTGACTCGTAATCTTTGATCAAGGAGTGTTTCTATAGACTTTCCATTGTAACCTCCTCATTAGAGGTTAAAAAATAAATTACTAAGAAATAGTCAACGTAGTCTTTTAATTGATCGATATGAAGTAATAAAATCTAAATATCTCCATGATGGACTATACAGTCAAAAGTTCTTTTTTAGTACTAATAAGTAATTTTATTTTATTAAGCAAACCAAGTGTACTACTTATGATAATAATCAAATAGCTTGTCTAGATCTTTAAAGTCATTTTAGTTTATAAATTTCTCATTTCTTAATCCATTGTTTATTTATGAAAGGTAAGAATGAATTTCATATCCTTAGCAGGATTAGATAGTTCCAGAGTTATATTAAAGTGAATAGAAGATTTCAAGAAAGCATTACTAACTCATATTTTCAAAAATTTCTGGGTGTAATTTCTCAGCTATCTCAATATATTTTAGAGGGACCCATTTCGAGTAGTGTTGTGCTTCCTATCCCTCATTGGTCATTCTCAAATCATGAAATCTGATTCCCGTTACAAAATTAGGCAAGACAGCAAATCTAATATTTTCATCAACCTCAAATAAGAGCTTTAACCATAAAGAATAATCATAAGCTGTCTAATGATTGTACAGATAATGCTTTCTGATTTTATCTGTTAATCTAATTGCAAAATTACTGTGAGGAATATGGTTCACAAATAGAAAATAAAATTTTAGCTTTGCAAAGTTCCCCACATAATTGTCTGCGTAATAATATGGTTTTCCAATTTAACTAAGTGGTAATAATGGAGCTCCGCACAACTCATAGTCTGGATTTCTTCTAAGAAAATCTATCTGGTAATTAAGTCTTGTTGAGAGCATAATGTCATCGTCATCTTGAATTGCTAGATATTCTCCCTTTGCTTATGTTATTGCATAATTTAACGCAAATACAGCATACTAATTGGTATAAAGATATAATACCCTTATTCTTGGGTGATTAGAAACCAACTGAAGAATTTAGAGTGTTTTTGGATTGTTTGAACCGTCATCTGAGATAAGCAATTCCCAATTGACATAGGTTTATTAAAATACATGCTAGATAGACCTTAATAGATAGTAATCTCTATTGAAGCAAGACATTATTATAGATGCAAATGGGTTTTCAGTAGAATTTTATCTTGCTTTTTCTAACTTGCTTAAATGATTGTAAATCTATTCAATATGCTAAAGACAATCTAGCTTAAGAGTCTATAGAGTATTAAATAGACTCTTATTCAGATACATATCAATCATGAGGTAGCCAACAAGGCAAAGAGTTTGCTCGTCACATCCTAAAAAATCATAAGAGCAATTCAGTAGCTTAGAGAATTGTAATGTCGAAATAATGATATTTCTACTGTTTAAGTAAGAATTGTATTACATAAATTTTACTTGATCTTACTAAGGTTAAATGATTGAATGATCTACAAAGACATGATGATATTAATTAAGGCTTATCTATAAATCTGATTCATTCATAAACTAGATGTTTTCATTCTTTACTACCTCGTTGATTACATAATACCTGCTGATTTCTGAAAATTGATTCAAAATTTAAGCAAGAAATCTCTTCCTCAGTAATAATGAAGCTTCAAATCTGAAATCCATGGAAAATAAAATCAGATCAAGATTTCTGTTATAGTCTAAATCTATTAAGTAGGAGTTATCCCAGGGTTCTCCTGCATCATTAACAATTTCTAAGTCTGATACTATTGCATTACTATTATACGTTATAGCTTCACTCACTTGATTTTTTATTCTATTGATCTTACTTTAAGTTTTTGAGTGAATCATAACTATATACTCTCCATTAATTTAGTGAAATAAACCTTGTAGAATCTTTCCAAAATCATCTACATCTTATGTTTTGATGAATTTAATGTTGTCCTAGTTATTAAACTTGGAATTCACCTGATCTAACAATTTCTATGATTTAACCGCTACAAAAACTTCATGATATACCAATGCCTGATTCATTGTATATATAATATTTCTCTCTAAGTCTTCAAAGCTACCATCACCATATATCAAGATGGTAGCCATATCCTTTTGAAATTCAACGAACGGTCTCTATTATTGATAGGATATTTGAGTTAAAGTAGAAATTAGGAATGAGATATAAATCAATAATTTTCTTCCCATTATGCGCTTTAACTTTATTTGATATTTGTAAGTTTATATCTATTAATCAATGATAAACCTAATTATGCTAAAATAAATCATTATTTTAATTTTATATGTTCATTTTTAATTGAAAAAGTATCAAAATATTAGTTTAAGAGTTAATCCAATGGGGTTTTGGGGTTTTGGGGTTTTGGGG